TTATTTCAAACAATAAGATGTGGCAGGCGAGACTACAAGGTGCCTGCAGGGTGCAGCTAGCACAGTTACAGGGCCGTTACAGGACATCACGGCTGTTTCTAGGGACCCCGCCCTGTGACACCTTTTAACAGCCGAGAGAAGATGCATTTAAGCATGAGAGTGTGTTGAAGAAAACTCTTCTTAAATATTTAATATGACCTTTATCCTTAAGGGTTTTTTTTTTCCTTTGTGAAAGAGTAGGTCTTTTTACTTGAGATGAACAATATTCTCCTCATGTGTGTCCTTGGGGCCCATTTCCCCATCCCACTGACGTCTAATCTTTCAGTGGGCATTGTATGGATTTTCTTCTTTCCCCTAGAGAGCTCTGCACTTCATGGGTTTCATTCCCATTCCTGGATGGCATGGTGTGGGAGTTCTCCCCTTTGGCTATTCAGTGTGTGCTTGTGTTTTACAAAGATGAAGGCGGAGATGTGGCCTTACATATTTGAAAATTAATAAAGAGATCATATATCTAAATTAAATGCTTTAATAAACCAACAGAGTTTCTTCACATCTTGTGAAGAAACAGGATACCGTGTATCCTATTAAGATGTTCTTTTGAATTTTCTGTGGAAGTCAGACAACAAGCTTTTGATCAAAGGCAGTGCCATTTAAGTCTTGTTCTCTCTTAAAAATGCAAGTTGGATAAACTTTTGGGATAATTCAAGTTCCTCTAGTTTGAAAAGCTTTTGCTGAACGGCAGAGTTTTTAACATATGGAATGGGATAAAAAGTTAAAGATCACATTTGCTTTTGGATAATTCACTTTGGAAGCAAAGGAGAATTGGTCAGTGGTCAAGTATTCAGTCTGATTGCAAAACAAAAAAGAAAAGGAGTCTTCTTCAGTAAATGACACAAAAGGATGTATATTAGAATAACATGTATTAGAATAATAGGTGGTGATTATTTAACATTTATAATAATTTAGCTAAGAAGGGCATATAAATAAAATCATATTGAGGGATATACTTCATATTGAACATTTAATGAAATGTACATTGCAAATGTAAGAAGCAGACTCACTTAAATTTGACAGGTTCACTTCTGTACCCTTCTGTGTGGGAGATCCTTCAAAAGCATGTCAATTTACTAAACAATACTGATCAATACTGAGCATATAAAATTAATGTAGTAAGCATTAGTATTTATTTTTCTGTCTGTTAGAAATAGGATTTTTTTTTCACTTCTTACGATCCCTGCTTGCATAATAACCTACTACTTTTCTTCAAAAATTCAAACTTAGTTTTTTTTAAATTTATTTTTAAATACTTTAACAAGAAATAGAATAAAAGACTAGTAACATTTTGTTTGATATGCATACTGTTCTAAAATTGGCCTATGTGTTACTAATCAAGTAGTATTTCTTGACCTAGTCAGGGCTTAAGAAGCTTCAAAGAATTTAAACAGTGTGTAATAACATTAATTGAATATTGTTGTTTTCCTATTAAGTAACTTTCTCATTTCAAATTGAAGGTCATGTTTACGAAGAAAAATGACAGCTGTTATCCCAAGTAGTTGTTAAAAAGTGGCAACTTTCTTCTTCCTCTTCATGTTTCTTTTTGTCGCCTGTTTGTATTACAGCTGCTGCTGATGATAGATGTTACAAATATGCAGACTGTGCTAGCTGTTCTGCCAATACAAATGGGTGCCAATGGTGTGATGACAAGAAGTGCATTTCAGCAAACAGTAACTGCAGTATGGTGAGCATTTGCCAGTAGCTGAATACATAGTTAATATTTTTTTTTTATAACCATTAGCTTATTATTTAATGCCATTTTATAAACTGTCACATTACATTTTCAGGCATTTGCAATATAAAATAAATCACACTTTCATACATTGTAGAGTTGATATAAATGCGAAAAATCTGAAAATTGACACTTGTGGTTACATATATTTGATTTCTGCCATCCTTCAACTGAATAACTTTGTATGCTACCCCTAACCTTGCCAAGACACTTTAGACTCTTATTTGATAAATATAAAGGTGACAATAATAGTGATAATGGCTAGGATTCTTAAAGGAGCCTCGGGGGAGAAACACCTGTGTTCTATTGTATTTTTGTGGGGGAGGTGGAGGGTCTGTCTCTAAGAAGCTGTTTTTAAAAATGCCAGCCAGATAACACAGCAGTTTTAGCATTATAGCTTGTTGTTTACAGCAGAAATCATACACAATCATGGTATGTGATAACTTAACATGGAACAGTTTTTATTAAATGCATAAGAGAGATTCTGACAACTCCCTCTATCTATCTATCTATCTATCTGTCTATCTATATCACAGTGTCTTGGTGTTTTTCACAGACTGATAAGCATTATTACTTCAGGAAAAATAAAGCACAGTGTTGTTGCGTGATTGCTTGGGGAACAAGACCTAGTCTCTTGATTATTTAACTGTATTTGTTCCTCTATCTTTTTTCTTAAAAGGCATCTGTATGATGTATGGATACTCATTTACTGAAAAATGTCCTCTAAACTAAAAAAAGACACAAAAATCCATAAACTTATCACATTGTAGTATGTTACAGAACACATTTAAAACTTTATTAGTGTATGTTAAAAATCATAGCTGTGTAGAGATTGAAGCAATGGTAGGACCTAGCACATAGTAGCTACATAGAACATAGTTGGTGTTTGTTGGTGCAATCTAGAACATGCAGTCAATCACGTAGTTTCTTAGCTTGGGATAAAGGTGGGGTTTGGTACGGAGCTGTGGGCTGGTAAAACATTATTAGACAATGGTTTAGAATGTAATGTACAAATGCTAGGGTGGGGAAGAAGTTAAAGGCATTAAAAGCCTTGGTCTGTTGATGGCACATGAGAGAGGTTTTCAGTTGGTCTCTTCTGACTTGCTTTTGGTTGGTGGTCTCATGAAGCTGTCTTCATATTAGCGGTGGCCCATGATGTGTTCAATGTAGATATCTCACCACCATTGGATGGTATTGGGTACCATGAGATGCCTCATCAGTTTTGCATAGTGGCAGGGTACTCTAGGCTCACAGGACACTCTAATTGCTGAAGTCCCGTGCTTCAAGTGCTCCAGCAATCAGTGACTGCACCATCATATCATTCCCCTTCTCCCTGTGGGTATTGGCTAGTGATCTGTATTTGATCAGCTGTTGCTCCTGGGCTTCAGGGAAAGATTGCCACCAGTTCTCAAAGAGGATGGTCATGCCGATCATCAGGACCTTTTTGTTGTCCTCATCCATTACCACAATGTCTGAATGCACCTGGCTGTTGCAGCCTAGCATGGCATGATTCACAGCTATTGTCCTATCACTGAGATGGCTTTCACCAGCTGATGATGATAACATTGTGACAGAGTTGCCACACTCCTATGCTGGCCTTACAGCCACATAGGACATGGGGCAGATCTTGTCCATGTAACTGCACCTCTTGTCTTGGTTTCTGTAACAGATGGTACTGTTGAGCAGGAGGCAGTTGAGATGGATGCAATGGATGAAGTGCCAGTCTGCAAAGTGCATGAAGTGGCTGCTAGCGTCCCAGTTCCAGATGACTTTGAAGACTTCGTCCTGGCTGGGTTTTGCCTTAAGGTTGTCAGTGTAGTTGACCTGCATGGCATCCTCCAGGAGCCTCTCCAAGCAGGTTCTGATGCAATGGGGTGATGGTGATGTGGGTGGCTGATGAGGCTGGGAGCCCCATCTCCTGCTGCTCCTTGCACCATGTCCAGAAGCACTTCCTGATGCACTTCCTGAGGTGCTGTGTAGCATCATGTACTTGGCTACAAAGTGAGGCAGAATCCTTGCCATGTTGTCCTAACTTTCCCTCTAGTCATTTGCTCAGGAACATGATTGGGTCCTTGTTGGATGGCAGCCTGGTGATCCTCCTCTTGGCAGTTGGTGATGCTGCTTGCCAGGTTGTCAGGGCAGGTCAGGAGGTAGAAGGCATGGGTGACTACTGAAAGGTACAGAGTTCTCCCACGTGAGGCATGTTGGCACTCCCCTGCCAGTAGAGGATGTGCAGGATCTTGTTGCTGGTCTGTAGTGGCAGGTTCATTTACCTTTTGAAGGGCTGCTTGATTTCACCACCCGCTTTCTTGAGAAGCATCTTGAGGACTACACTTGATCTTAACCAAAAAGACCAAGAGAGTTGGCTGACAAGAGTCAAGAGCAGTAGCATTTGAAAATGCAAGACTTTTTGGAATCTTCACTATCATAGTTTCATAGTTTTAGGGTCGGAAGGGACCTAATAGATCTTCTAGCCCGCCCCCCCGCCAGGGCGGGAGAACAACAAAAGAACCCTAAACAAAAAACGGGACTCAAATGAGTCCAGCCAGGTAGGTATCCAGCCTCTTCTTAAAGATCCCCAGGGTAGGGGCCAGCACCACCTCCCTTGGAAATTGGTTCCAGCTCCTAGCCGCCCTGACTGTGAAGTAGTTTTTTCGGATGTCCAATCTGTACCTCCTCTCCATCAACTTGTGCCCATTACTCCTTGTTATGCCAGCGGGGGCTAGGGGAAACAGCGTCTCCCCCAAACCCTTCTGGTTCCCCCTAGTGAGTTTATAGACGGTCACCAGGTCCCCCCTCAGCCTTCTCTTGTGGAGGCTGAATAGGTTCAGGTCCCGCAGTCTCTCACTGTAGGGTCTGCCCTGTTGTCCCCGGATCATGCGGGTGGCCCTCCTCTGGACCCTCTCCATGTTGTCCACATCCCTCCTGAAATGGGGCGCACAGAACTGGACACAATACTCCAGCTGCGGCCTGACCAGCATCGCGTAGAGTGGGAGGATCACCTCCCTGGCTCTACTTGAGATGCACCTGTGGATGCACGACAAGGTCCGGTTAGCCCTGCCAACCATGACCTCGCATTGTTGGCCCATGTTCATCTTGGAGTCAATAATGACACCAAGATCCCTTTCCGCCTCTGTGCTCTCAAGTAGGGAGCTCCCCATCGTATAAGTGTGCTGCTGGTTCCTACTACCCAAGTGCAGCACCCTGCACTTGTCCGTATTGAAACACATCCTGTTCCTGTTTGCCCACCCCTGTAACCTATCCAGATCCTTCTGCAATCTCTCTCTCCCTGCTAGCGTGCTCACCTCCCCCCAAATTTTGGTGTCATCAGCGAATTTAAACAGGTTGCTCTCCACCCCAACATCAAGATCGCTGATGAAGAAATTGAACAGCGCAGGCCCCAGGACCGAGCCCTGGGGGACTCCACTACCCACCTCCCCCCAAGTCGAGTATGATCCATCCACCACCACCCTCTGAGTGCGACCCTTCAGCCAATCTGCAATCCATCTGACCGTGTAGGCATCTATGCCACAGTCGCCTAGTTTATTAATTAGGATGGGGTGAGAGACGGTGTCAAAGGCCTTGCTGAAGTCCAGAAAGACTACATCCACCGCGACACCTGCGTCCATGGCCTTTGTGACCTGATCATAAAAGGCAATCAGGTTGGTCTGACATGATCTCCCCCTAATAAATCCATGCTGATTGCCCCTGAGCATCATTTCTGATGCCGGCCCATCACAAATGTGCTCCTTGATGATCTTCTCAAAGAGCTTCCCCAGGATTGAGGTAAGACTGACGGGCCTATAATTGCCCGGGTCCTCCCTTTTCCCTTTTTTGAAGATGGGGACCACATTAGCTACCTTCCAATCGTCTGGCACCTGGCCCAAGCACCACGATCGCTCGTAGAGCCGTGCCAGGGGCCCTGCAATAACCCCAGCCAGCTCCCTCAGCACCCTGGGGTGGAGAGCATCCGGACCCGCTGACTTGAACGCGTCCAGCCCCTCCAGAAGCTCTCTAACCCGGTCCTCCCCAACCTGAGGTCTGAAGGCGATCCCCTCGCGTCCGGCTTCTATCACAGCAGGGAAGTCCCGGTCCCTGCACAAGAAAACGGAGGTGAAGAATTGGTTAAAGAGGTCCGCTTTATCCTCTGACGCAACCACCAGATTGCCCCGCATATCCTGCAGGGGCCCCACATTACCCGGCGCCTTCTTCATCCTCCCAATATATTTGAAAAAGGACTTTTTGTTATCCTTAATCCTGGACGCTAATCCGAGCTCTATCTCCGCCTTGGCCTTCCTAACAGCCCGCCTGCAGGCCCGAGCAGAGGAGGTATACTCCTCTTTGGAGATTACACCCCCCTTCCACCGGGCGTACGCCACCCTTTTGGCAAGCAGGCATTCCCGGACACCCTTGGTGAGCCAGGGGGGCTTTTGGACACTCCTGCCCGCCTTGCTTCTTGTCGGGATGGACACCCCTTGGGCCCCGAGTATCGTTTCCTTAAGGAACGACCACTCCTCTTGGACGCTGAGTTCCTCTGCCCTCAAGGACCCCAGTTCCTCTCCCACTAATCTCCTCATCTCACTGAAGTTGGCCCTCCTGAAGTCTAGGGCCACCACCTTGCTGCGGGCCCTTGACACTCTACGCTGGATGGTGAATTCCAGCACGCGATGATCACTATTGCCCAGGTGGTCAAGAACCTGGAGGCCTCTTACCAGGTCGTCGCCTGCGGCCAGGACCAGGTCCAGCAGAGCATCTCCTCTGGTGGGACTGTGCACCTCCTGAATCAAGTGGAGGTCCTGCAACTCGGCCAAGAACCTCCTGGAGCGGTCCGTCCCGGCTGACTGCTCCTCCCAGCAGATGTCCGGGTAATTAAAATCGCCCATGACAACTACATCCCTTGCTTTTAGTGTCTCCGCAAGCTGGCCTGAAAATTCCCTGTCCAGCTCCTCCTC